CAATTCCCATGATTCCCTAGCACTAACCCTAACCCTAAAAGTGGAGTTTGCGCTATTTCTGGCAGTCTGCAACTCCCCTTAAAGAAGTATAGTTGGCCCTCCTTATCCATTGATTTTTTTATCCACAGAGTCAAACATCCCCAGCTTGAACATATTCCAAAAAAGTATAAATTCCAAATAGCAAACCCTGATTTTCCATTTTATATAAAGGACACCACTTTCCTATGCCATTATATTTAATGAGACTTGAGCATCCATGGATTTTGTTATCCCTGGGGGATCCTGGAACTGAGATAATGACCATGCAGAACTATCTCCTACAGGCCACTTAATGCAGGTTTGTTACACCTCAATATCCTTTTTTATCACCTTGCTGAAGGTAACCATTGCTGCAATGAAAGGAGAGACTCCACCTTCCACTTCTGCTCTTGAAATGCATACTTACAACTGGAGTGAAATGGGGCTTCTAATCCACTTTAGTGATTGGGAAAATGGAATTGGCATTCGGGGTGAGAGGGAATGAATTAACAAGAAGTTGAAGCCTGGATGGAAGTTGGCGGGGGGAATTGCCTAGATGTATGTGGTTAATTTTTAATTATGATGTATTTTAAGTATTGCAGCGCTTTGTGTATATGTGCCTTCAAGTCACCTATCAACGTATGGCAACCCCATTAATTTCCAAGAGTTTTTCTTAGACCAAGGAATATTCAGAGGTGCTTTGGCCACTTCCTTCCTCTGAAATATAGCCGACAGCACCACTCCAACATTTCACCACTCCTCTCTGAATTAATGGAGGGCTAACTATTTTTGCCTTTAAAAATGTAGCCATGTTAGTCTGTAGAATCAGTAGGTGGAGAGATCTTGTAGTACCTAGTAGCACTACAAGAGACTTGTAGTTAGTTTCAAAAGTGCTACAAGAGCTCTCTACATATTTTTGCCTTTTGCAGCCTTTTGAGTTAAGCTGAGGACAAAAGGAGAAAGCAAGAGGAGGAGAGAGAAACTGGGACATTTTAAAAGCTGTTGAAAAAATGGGACAACCGAGAATTAATTGAATAATAATAATAATAATAATAATAATAATAATAATAATAATAATAATTTATATCCCGCCCCTCTGCAGAGCAATCGGGGCGGCTTACAACATTAAAATTGGGATTGTCTCTGCCAAATTGGGACAGTTGAAGGATATGATATGATATATGATATATGATATGATATGACCCATCTATTTTAGCAGCTTTTTGAGACAGATTCCATTATTTTTTATTCTACCTTTTCCTTTTCAGATTCTATTAATGAATTTATTCTCAAGGTGGCAAAATGTTGGGTTCTAGCTTCCTCGACTAGGGATGGTTAGACCTTGGTAGTAATTTAACCATTAGTAGCAGTCGCCGCAGGTTTCCTTACGGAAGACCCTTCTTTTTTTCTATCAGCGTATGCACATAGGTTGGCATTTTTTTCTGGGCTTGTGTCACCTGGACCTGTTCATGTTGCACTGGTTCCTTTTCTAACTGCAAAGGCTGATCTGTGACCCTAGTAAAGTCCTGCGTGTGTCTAACGCTTGCAACTTCGTGTTCGCCCTAAAAAGCAGAAGGGGGGCGGAGGGGATTTTCGGTTTAGCCACCCCAACTCTCAGCCTCCCCAAAATGCTCCTCATCCTTGGCTTGTGAGGCCAGGGAGCAGCTGGGTGGAGAGTGTGGAAATCTTGATGATTAGTTTGTTTTTTAGACGCAGGGATTTGTGGCTGATTAACCTTAATCCTTTCGGTGTGATGGAACCCCATATGTGACTGGGCTCCAGTGAAAGGCGGGGGGACCATAGACGGGGAGAAAGCATATACAAGGACAAAAGTCATTTACTGTGAAAATCATACTCGCCGTTGCACACAGGGCCAGGATCCAACTTTGGAAAATATAGACATCAAGTGGTTAGTTCAGTGCCTATCTCCAGATCATGTTAGGGCTTATGTCTTCCCTTCTTTTTTTGAGGGAGGCACACGCCGCAGAAGTCTGGCATGGCAAAGATCCTGGAGAGAGGCGGTGAATCCCTTTGTCAAGGCCAACCGAGGCCAATTCCACCATCTGAGAAAGACCTGATTTTGGATGTGAAGTCGTAGGCTTTCATGGCCGGCATCCATAGTTTTTTGTGGGTTTTTCGGGCTGTGTGGCCATGTTCTAGAAGAGTTTCTTTCTGACGTTTCGCCAGCATCTGTGTCTGGCATCTTCAGAGAAAAAAATTTGGGTTTGGGTGCGGGAGAGTGGAAAGCCATAGCCGCCAATGTTTCAAGGCACGCGCGTGTGGCCAAGCCACATCGGAGAGTGGTCAAGATGGGAAAAGGGATTAATGAGGAAGAATCCGCAAAGCTAGGAGGGACTGCCGCAGTTTGCTTTTGCCGGAACACACTGGGAAGGGCAAGACTCTGCCCCCTTCTAGCCTCTCTTCCTTGCAAATTACTTTTGCAATGTGAATGCAGTTTGCAGCAACTGAAGTGAGCTGAGGACAAAGGAGGAAAGTGGGAGGAAGAGACAAAAACTCTTCATTTTAAAAGCCGCTGAAAACGTGGGACAACAGAGGATCCGTGACTGCCATTCCCTTTTCTCTGTGTGCTGTCTATTTATATTGTAAGTCTAAGGGCAGGGAACTGTAAAATGAATAATTTCTAAGCCAATCTGTTAGCCTAAGTAAATAAATCGTCTAGAACATGGCCACACAGGCTGAAAAACCCACAAAAAAATATAAATCCAGACTGTTCTTGTTATATTGGGAGAGTTGGAGGGTATAGGACACTCCGCCAGTCCCTTAGTAGGGTCTCTCTGCCATCCTACCTGGCTAAGGTGGAAGTTTTCCAAAGAATGGTGGACAGCTGGACGTAACCCATCTTTTTCACTTCTCCCAGTGATGCTAGATCAGATACACTGTGGGTAATTTCAAGGCTTGCTAGTAGAGTCAAGCCTCTGAGATTGCTGGGACTATCAGGCCAAAAGAAAAAATATTATAAAGGAGGGCCAGGAGGACTATCAGTGTGCACAAGGGTACTCACATTTCTGACCCAAACTCTCCCATTAACAACTATAGACCCTGGAAGGGCACAGCTTTATGCCTAAGGGTACAGGGGCAAGGCGTACAAAGGGCTTTCCAATAATAGCTATGCTCCTGTATATTTTAAAAATTTTCAAACCTTGGGTGCTTGAATCGGCGGATACAAAATCTGTGGCTGCAGAGGGCTAACCATACTTCAGTTTTGGCAGCCTGAGTTGAAAGTGTAGGAGTAGTTTGCACTCAGTTAACCCAACCGTGGGGAGAAGAGAAGGCATGGCGGAATCGTGCCCTTCCCAGTAGACTCAGGCAAAAGCAAACTGCTGCAGCATCTCCCAGTTTGTGTGTTCTTTTCTCATTCATAACTTTTGCATGACCACCCTCTGATGTTGCTTGGTCCAGGTTTTCATCTGTGAAATATTGGAGGGTATGAAATTTCTGTATGTCAAGCTGTTGTTAAAGATACAGGAGGAAGAACAAATCAAAGGGTGACACATAGTAGAAGCTATGCTAGAATCCAAGAAGAGATTGGGGGAAATGGTCCTCCTAAGTGGCTTGCATGTGCTTTCTCTCTCTCTCTGTCTCCCTTTCGGACATACAGAGAAAATCTGCTCACATTTTTATTTTCTGAATGACTCGCTGTGCTACTAGGAGCCAAACCTGGCATGGCCTCTCTCCCATCCATTATATAAATGAAAGCAAGCTGGCAGAAGAGGTAGATTTGGGGGAAAAACAACTCTCCGCTTGAGCGTTGGTTGGTGTCAAGGGCATCTTTGCCCCTCGGACTGGGCATGAGATAGGATGGCATGACTCCTGTCCAAAAATAGAGATGAGAGCCACAAAGCTTTTTGTCCTGATTGAGAAAAGGGGCAGATTCTGTTCCTGAAAGGAGATTAATGCTTGCAAGCCTGGCATCTGCGGTCGGTCTGAGTGTGTGTAACTACATTTTGTATAAAATGTGGAAGGGAGGGGAGAAAAGAAGAAGAAATACAGCAGCACCTTTAGGACTACCTGGTTCTTATTTGAGCATGAGCTAAAATGTGTTGTTTCTGTTGTAAATATAAATAAAAATTATTATTATTATTATTAACACTCTCACTTGTGTGTGGGCAAAAGCTCTGTATAATCTTTGCCTCCATTATCCTGGCATCTTGCATTGGTTATCACCTTTTATTTTATTTACTGCTCTTGAGCTTTGAAACATCAGCATAACAAGGAGAAATTTTGCAGGTGGAGTATTTTTAATCGCAAGAAATGCCTCTAACTCTCATCTCACATCCTTTGGAGCTCACAAGGGAAAAGGAGACAGGGACAGAGTCTAAATCAGTGTTGTTATAGAAATCCAAATCCAAATCCCCTTCTGTCCCTGCTTAAAAGGCAATTATGATACATAGTTATTTTTGAAAAATGGGGATGCAAATGGTAACTGCTGAAATGATTGCAACCCCTTCTTTCTTGTTCTTGGTGGGCCTTCATCATTTTTTACTTCTGGCGACCCAAAGGCAAAACTATCAAGGATTTTTCTTGGCAAGATTTGTTCAGAGGTTTGCCATTGTCTTCCCCTGAGGCTGAGAGAGTGCGACTTGCCCAAGGCCACCCAATGGGTTTCGTGGCCTTGCTGGAAATCAAACCCTGGTCTCCAAAGCTGTAGCTCAGTTTTCTTGGCGAGTTGCTTCAGAGGGGGGTTGCCATTGCCGTCTTCTGAGGCTGAGAGAGTGTAACTTGCCCAAGGCCATCCAGTGGGGTTTTATCTTCAAGCAGGCAATTGAACCCTGATCTCTAGGGTCATAGTCTAGCACTCAAACCACTATACCATACTAGCTTTCCAAAATGACAGTAAATAGCCTTTGCAAATTCAGAGATAAAACTTTACCAAAGAGGTGGGTTCGTCTCCACTTCCCAATCCCACTTCTGTCCTCTATGAGATTTCCCAACTTTTGAACCGAACCCTATAGCTCGTCTTTAATGGTAGCATGATATACACCATATTTTATTGTGCCACCAAACTGGCTTTGGGTTATGGTGGCCTCCATGACATCTTGTCATGTCTTGCAAATTCAAGGATGTGGAGTCCATCTGTACTTGGTAGCTATGAAAAATTCTCTTTCTGTTCTCCTGTTGGAAAAGCATCACTATTAATTTTCCCCACATTTCATCTCAAGATTCTTCTCACATTTCAGCATAGGACATGAGAAATTTTATCATCCATTCATCCTTTCCCCCCCC